GCAATGAATGTACAAATGTGCTTTACACAACTGATGTATGTACGGATTGTGATGAGTAGTATGAGCCCCTAATAAAACTATTTAAAAAAAAAAAAGAAAGAAAATGACCAAAATATTAACTATTACCATTACTTATTATTACTAGCAGTCACTGGTACTAAAGCAAACAAAACAGTTTGTTGCTCTGTGGTATTCTGTGTCTTGCTGGAAGTTTTACCATCATATTTCAAATACAAGCAGTGTCACCATGCTAGACCAGTTTTCTCAGAGTCCAGGCTAAGGCAGAGTAGGAAGAAAGGCATGGGGATCTACTTCCAAAAATTGCACAATAAAACTGTTAAGGATTACAATAGGCTAAGACAGAGTGCTAGAGGACAAACCCCCAAGGCTGGAAGGGAATAAAAAATAGACTCAACAAACCAATTATCAAGAAGATGGTATAGGACCAAGCAATATCTGGTCCTGCTGTAACATTGCTTTGAGTCAGTCAACTTGACAGCAACTAACAGGAGAATTTGTGACCCTGAGATTCACACTGACTCCCTGTGATGGAGTCCATTCCAACTCATAGCAACCCTAAAGGACAGGGTAGAACTACCCTTGTGGATTTCAGGCTGCAATTCGTTACAGGTGGAGAAAGCCTCATCCTTCTCCCAAGGAAAGCCTGCTGACCTTCAGGAAATTATTCAGAATACACAAGAATGTTGAGACATGGAAACAGAACTAGAAGGAAAGATCTGAGAAAATGTTAGCTGGTGTCAAGTTTGCCTCAATTTAGGGCAGTCCCAGGCTAAACAGAACAAAACAGCCAGCGCCCAGTCCACTGTAACTAACGGGTATGATCCACTGGGTACCACAGACTGACTTTCAAAAGTAGCTCACCAGACCTTTCCCCTTCCTTCTTTGTACAGAGATGTGATCATGAAACCAGGTAATAATGTTCTCAAATTGATAAAAACAAATCTACAGATCCAAACAGCACAATATTCTGAGCAGGGGGAAAAAATCTACATAGGATTTCTTTGCTTTTTTTGCAACTGAGGTTTTTCTCTCTTATTTTGCTGTTGTTTCTAGCTTTTTTGATTCTTAATAGTTTTTTTTATTTTAGTGTTTTTCAGTACATGAAATCCAGGATAGGTGAATCTATTGAGGCAGTAACTAGATTAATGGTTTCTTGGGGGTATGGCATGGGAGGTTGGGATGTCAAATGGGTAACTAATAAGAAGCATAATTAAGAAGAAAATGTTCTAAAACTGATTGTGGTAGCATGTAGTATGAGGTGGGGGTGCCAGCCCCCCACCGCTGGTCACGGGGGTTCAATAAGCACAATTGTACGGTTGAGATGTATATATATATGTTATATTAAAGTCATCGAGAGCATAAGCAATAAAAGATTTATTACAATAATGCAGTCAGACACATTACATAGTAGGCATTGCTCACCTCAGCCCCACTTGGTGGTCCACGTGGAGAGAGGGGGAAGAGAGGAGAGAGGGGGAAGAGAGGAGAGAGGGAGGAAGAGACCAGCAAGGGAGAGAGAGGGCTCTCTCTTGCTAACCAAGGCCTATAGTATACCTTTTGGGGGCATGCAAGCCCACTAATTACAGGTAACGACATACATCACCGGAAGGGGTTGCACTATAGGTTATACAGCAATAAGGTGGTAGTCTAGGGACATATACGCAATAGGAAGAGGAGGGATTGGGGGTATACATGTGACAAGATAGGCGAATCCTAGATTTAGGATGACAGCTTAACTTGACCTGTTCTCTGGATATCCATAGGAACCATTATCAGTAGGGTGAAAATCCCACCTTCAGGAACCAAATAAATGACTGCAACCCTGTCCATTGTCTTTAACAGCAGGGAACGGGGCCCACTGCCATCTAGCAACTGATCGCCCTCATGGGGGGATGCCTGCAAGCATCTGACCTCCCCCCCACAGTAGCAATTATACAATTCTTCTGGATATGATTGAATTATTGAATTGCATGCTATATGGATTATGTCCCAATAAAACTGTTCTTTAAAAAATTTTTTTTAATTTTTTCTAAGGAATGTACTTTTGTAATCCCACCATTAGTCTGTCATACTATGGCAGCGAACTGGTGTGTTGCTGTGACCCTTGAAGCTACACATTGGTATTTGAAAATTTTGTGGGGTCACCATGACAGACAGGTTTCAGTGGCGCTTCCAGACTAAGACAGAAAAAAACAGAAGGTCCAAATCTGAGACATTAGACACTGAAAACCTTATGAATCATAGTGGAACATTGTAAGATATCATTCCAGATACCCTTATCAGACTCGACTGGAAAACACTCGACCTTGAACTATTTATAGGCTTTTCCATTTTTTACAGTGGCTTTCTTTTTGTTTTGTTGGTCCTTTGTTGTTTTGTTTGGCTTTGCTTGTTTTTTTCGGTTATTAATGTCTCTGCATGTTTACCTAGATTAAACAGTTGGGATAAACAATTCCGGGACAAAAAGAATGGGACTGGTGGTTCGGGGAGAGGGGAGGTGGAAAAAAGGAAAGAGGAAGGGAGGGGAACCAACCCAGGGATTAGGG